TCATCAAAAATTAGAAATAATCGATAGCAGAAGTTCGCTAGATCGATGAAAGGGTATGTATGAGTTTTGTCGAAAAGTTTAAAAACGATAGGAATAAGACTTTAGTAGTGTCACCGTTGTCAGAAATAAACAATAGTTTAACAAAATAATAATTATTTATGAATTAATAAATGATACTGGACTAGCCATAATAATTTATGGATAATTATATAAGAGAATAAATGAATGTTTACAACTTGATATATATATATAAGCTTCCTGTTATCATTTCTTTTACTAATTACTGTATTCATTAGAACTGATTAGCTTAATTTTTAATCGTTCCTTTGTCTTCCAAGAAAGACTAATATTGATCGATCTATTTTGTTTCTATTATTTACAATGACTTTTTATATTCTATGAAAAAAACTGTTGTGTATGTTTCTATCGATATGAATAGTTGCGCCTCAAGCTTGTTGACTATTTAGCACACTAGTCAATCTTCTTTCTATAACTATCACAACATCAACTCTACTAACATTTTATCATAAACCATATTCGACATTTTTACTTTCGACTAAAGTCAATACATTATTCCGAACTAAATTCTTTATTCATTTTCACTATGTCTGATGAAACTTCAGGTAAGATCGAATTCTTTTTTACTAAAATATTTATTTCCTACACATAATAGTCTATTTCTGATGTAACATTAGTTATTTCATTTTTTATCAACAAAGTCTCAGTTAGAAGTTATTCTGAAAAAATATGATTACAAACATCAAGTTATTTTTATTTGAAAAAAATATAAATCATGAGTTTATGATTATGGTCTTGACTTATAGATTATTAAATGACATTATTTTAGTTTCTTCTTATAATACACAAAAGTTTATCTATGGGATAATTAAATAGAAAATATAATTAGCCTTTTAGGTTATATTGATCCTACAATATGCTCTATTTCTTTTTCATTTAAATTTGGTTTAGATTAAGAAATTGTATATTTTTATTTTTATGATGAATATAAGAATAGTATTCACCCGTTAGTAACTTGTAGAAAATTATTGAAACATAAGCGTTTACATCGAATCATTTTAATATAACAATTAACCTAGAACGACTCTGTTAGTATAATTCCTTATTCATGTATTTAATTATTGTTTTAATCGACCGCTAAAAGGAAGAAACATGAATAAACGCAAGTTTTATATTTAAATGAATTTTTTTCTTAGAAATAGTATTCATTGACGTATGGATAAATGAGAAAGCTTTATTAATTATTTAATATATAATGTTTACATTTATATTAAAAATATTTTTACACGGCATGTGTATTATATAAGCTTAATAGACATGTAATGATGAGCATCTAATGCGTTTGTTTCTTAAAAAAAGTTGAGTAAGTAAAACGATTTTTTTTTGCATTCATGATTGTCGACACTGTTTAGAAGATATTTTACGTGACTAATATGAAAGAAGAAAGTAGAGCGGTAATTGATAGCGAACCTAACGAAGACAAGATTGTTCTCGATGCATATACCTATTTTTTTTTGTTTATCATATAAAAACAACCAAAAGGTCACGTTTCTGTCTTTTATAAATGTCAAATTCTTTAATGACAAGAAACAAGAACAAAGAAAAACTAGTTTTTATGTCATTGTCTATTGTATTAAAAAAATATGTGGTGTTACTGGTTGTTGATAAACAAGAAAACGACAATATGGACATCGATAGTGTGTTTGTAACCAATGAAGAAGACATTCACGATGATAGATATGTTTACATGTTAACTGTAAAATTATATCTGATATTGTAAAATCTCCTAAACATATTGAACATTGACTAGATGTATTATGTATTTGATTATATTGTATTGTTTGTGCTATAATATCAGCTGTAAGAATTTGATTACTATCTAGAGATGATATTGTCGATTGAATAATTGTTGCTATTGTATTATTTAATAAATGTTGTCGAACAACAATTAAAGAATTTGTTTGTATAGAAGAATTTATTTCAATGATTGTTTGTGGGCGTGTTGTTCGTGAACTTGGAATTGTTTGAATTATATATGTTGATCGATTAGATGTTAGAGGATTATAGAGAACTTTAAGTGCCCATCGATTATTCGATATATTAACATGCATTGAATTTGACATCGTCTTGTCTTTATCAAAAATCTATTCGCGCAAATCAATATTTGGTTGCTACAGACAGTATTTAGAGAATTAGATGATTTATCGTTATTGAAATATTGAAAAAAGGACGTTTAGTTTATTTAGTTAAGTAATGAACTATGTAAATTATTTCTTTTTTTTTCGTTGTCATTTGAGATGATCTGGTAAAATACATCTGGTCTATTTCTCCGATCTATCAACATTGCATGTTTATTTGTTTAATGTTAAAAGAAATCTATCATACGTATGAGAAGTTAATGATGTAAAGAACGACTTACATAAATGTACGTATTATACTTTAGATAAAAAGAGATTTTATTTATAAAACAACATGACCTTTTTAAGACAACTGAAAAAAAAACATTCATTAATATATTATTTTTAATAACGAGGTCAATAATATTATATAAAAACTTGTTAAACATAATATTTGCTTTTAAGCATCTCATATATCTCGTAGGATGTTGTTGAGAGCATTAGTCGTTTTTCTCTCTAATTGAATATTATTTAATCCTATCTATATTATTCAATTATCGTTGTCTTTCTCTTCTTGTTATCATCGGATCTTGTTTTTTAAATAATTTAATTTTTATTAGACATTCTTCTTCGATTATTTATGAAGTAAATAAAGCATTAAGTATATTGTTGTCTAGAACATTTTAATAGGAACAAAAAAAAAAGAGGAAACTAATTTATCATATACAAAGAATTCATTATATTTCTTGTAAAAATATGTATTAAAGTAGAGTATATTAAGCTTAGTCAATTGAACTGTTAATTTTTAAAATTGATGTAAAATTAATATGCGATATATATATAATAGGATTATTGAGAAAAACATGTTATGAGAAGATATATATTTAAGTCATAACGAGTTTTTACATTAGATTTTGTGTATAAATCTGAGATACGATACAAATTGGTTTCATACTACATCTTTTCAGTAGTAAGTCATTTTATATTGAATTATTGATAAAAAATTTGAAAGTTTGACTTTCTTAGAAAAATAGACTTCCAGTACAATTATAATATATAGGAAGTTAAAAAAATTATAGACCGCCCTAATGGCATAGCCAAAAACTATTAATATTATATTTGGGAAAAGAAATTCTTTCCAACCTAGAGTATATTAATATTTGTTTGGCTGTGACAAAGGGGGGTCTATAATTTATTACCCCCTGTAGAATAGATAATACTCTTGTTAGAATACTAAAATACCTATTTTAATGATCAGACTTAATCTGCAATGACTCATATATCTTTAGATCGATCGTCTCCATGAAATATAGACATTTATAAGCTTGATTGAAACGATATTTGTTTTTCTTAGTTGCTGTAGGCGGTAGAATTAATATGTCTCGAATGAGTATTATTTTTATCTTACATCGTATATTAAAAATATCAATGTAAATATAGATTTATTGTAAACCGAGTGTACTTTCAATATTTAATAATGTTAATTCAAGTCAAATTACTAATGCTACTTTGATTTGTTTTTTTTTTCTTCTAAAGTTTATATTAATTAAAAAAATATCGAACGTGACCGATTTTTCATTATTATTTTAATACGAAAAAAATTATCTTAAATCTATATAACTTGATAAATATATATAAACTAATTAAAAACATCTATTTGTGTAACGTGTTGTTTTTTGTTGTTTGATTTCTTTTTTCTTTTTTCATTAGAAAGAACAGCTTGCACTTCAATTAAGATATATAATATTATTTGTTCATGAACTTTGTATTATGAAAATATAAGATGTGCTCTTATCCACATACTTTTCATGTCTAACTAGCGTTTTCTTCTTTTCTAATTCATCAGATTAACATGTCTCACTTAAATCATGTGATTGTCATATGTTGTTTTAAAACTATTTTTATCGTTTTGTTCTATACTGAAGTATCGAATAATGTTTTTAGTAGGCGTTTAATCATGATAATGAGAATTAAAAAGAAATGATCTTATTATGTATTTGATTATTTGCATTATAAAAAGAAAGACAAGTAGAACAATTAAAAGTATATTACATGATACATATAATTTACATTAGATATCTATTATTTAACAATAAGTAAGAGAAGAAAATGAATTTTTCTTTAATGTACTTTTATGTACATTCATTAAAAATAATATGTCTTATTATTCATATGTCTGATAAATATTTTTTTTTGGAATAACATGAAGGAGAAAAGTAGCTTAGGATCTTCATGTCGTATTAAGCTTAAGTTTTGAGGCGTACTCAGTGATTCCTAGAATGAAACTGTTTCTGAAATTACTAAGTAAATTTAGATATCATAGGAATCAGCATAGAAATAAGAATTGAAATCTCTTATTATTAATAAGATTATATATAAAAGTATAGAATAGTCGACAAATGTCATCCTATAGCTCTGAGATATTATCAGAAAATTTCCTGACATAAATCTCTGATAATGTTGACGCATACATACATTCACAGAAAAGAAAAAGAACACGCGAGTCTTCTCATGTAATTTGGTTCAAATAGAATAAAGATGGAAAGTGAATTCGGTAAGTTAGAAAATTATTTCTAGACTAATAACTATAGAATATAATCATTTTAAAATAAAATATTATGTTTGCTTTGATAAATCTTATAGAAAAAAAAGTTACTTCATTTAATTTCTTTCCTATAAAAAATGCTCGATGATAGTCTTCACGAACAAAAGATCTCTTTCAATAAATAACAAGCTATTATTTTTCCTTTATTTTATTATTCTATTCAATTTCGTCTGGAGTTCAAATGCATCTGTCTACTAATATAATATTCTTAGAAAATATAGAGCATACTATTCAATAACAGACAAATTCTAAAGAGTGATACATTGACAAGACAGACAAGAAGCAAAATTTTATTTGGTTTCTAACTGATTAACAACAGACATTTGCTTATTTTAGATCCATTTGATGACCTCCAATGGGATATGACTTCAAACGGAACAGAAACGGGTGGACAATTGCAAGAAGTATTAAAATATCTTGGATTTACGTCTGGTTTACGTTTAAATGAAACCGAGTCACAAGTACCAATAAAATCAATATGGCCATCAGTATTAAATCTAATACCTCTTTCATTAGGAGTTGTTGGTTTAATTTTTAATATTCTTGCTTTATTAATATTTACTGCATCAAGAACATTTCGACAAAGTCCATTTCGATGTTACATATACGCATTTGTACTTGTTAATTGTGCAAGTATATTAAGGTAAAGAAATCTTTAAAAAACAATTTCCATTATCGAAATAACTGATTGCATACATTAGAATAATTATAGAGAAAATTTATAATTTATAGATGTAAAAATTACATTCATATAGACAGATGTCAATAGGATGTATCCGGGTGATACAGTTCTAACTAAATATAATGAGGAGATTCGATGATTGACATTACGGTAAATGTCGACTCGGAGTGTCTAAGTTTAATAAGTGCTTATTTTGTTTACTAGAAATATACGTAATATCCCTTGAATTTCTCTCTTTTTTGTTTTAGTCATTCATGGCTTTATTTAGTATTTTATATTGTTGAACCAGTACGTTTATGTAAATATATCCAATTTTTACAACAATCTCTATCAACAGCATCACTTTGGATTATGGTTTTATTGTCATGTGAACGTTCATTTACGTTTATACGACCATTTACAGTTAAACATGTTTTAAAATCACGTACAGTATGTTTCATAATTATTTCGGTAATATGTTTATGTTTTGTATTACATATCGATGAACTAATATTCGTTGATATAAAAGCATTTCGTTGGGTTAATTTTGCATACGGTATTTGTTCAATAAAACGACGTTCAATTTTAACAATGGAACGTATTAAAATAATAACACATTCCCATGCATTTATACTTCCTTTTTTATTAAATTCAATCCTTGTTATATATATTTGTTATAAAATTTGTCAACGACGTCAACGTATATTACAAAAAAAACTATCAATTCTAAAGAACAGTAAATTTCGTCGATCAAAAATATCATTAGCTAATGAAATAACATTAACATTATTATGGCAATCAACATGGTTATTAATAACTTATTTTCCAACACATCTTTATTATTTTTTAATATCATTTAATTTTATGCATGATCATGATCGTGATAATTCAACATTAGTTTTTTTAATACGACAAAATTTACTTATTTATTTGGCATTTTCTCCAACACTTTATGTTATATTAAGTCCAACATTAAGACGAGAAATTCGTATACAAGTAACTCGAACATATAAACAACGGAGAAATACAAATTCATCATATGTATCAGTAACAAATAAAAAAGTAGATAAATTTTTAAATGATGATCGACAACCACGTTTAACTATATTAATTACAAAAAGTGAAGAACTACCAAGAAAATTTCCTTCAACAACAACAATAATGAAATCAAATAAACTTTTTAATCAATACGAATCACAAAGTGCACCATGTTTATCAGTCTATACAAATAAACATGAATATTATCAACATATGAAAACAGAACGATCTTCAACATTGATGCATTAATAATTACTTTTTCCTTTTGTTTTTTAAATATTGTTGTGAAGATGAATGTGTATATTAATAATTTGTATTTAAAAACAATGAGATCAATTCTACGTCTGACGTAGGTGTAATAAATTATTTGTACCTTTATTATCTTGTAAAATATATTTATGCGTCTGAATCTTATCAAATTTTTTATCTTTTACTATGATATGGACTTAGCTTTCAAAATGTTCTTTGATCACAACCATGAACAACTCTAAATAATTAATTATAAAATGTCATTATCTATAAAAAGAATGAACTTACAATATAGATACATTCAATTGATGATGAAAACAATAGAATCATGATTTTATATGATTAAGACATAAGAAGATAAAAAGATTCATAGGTGATAGATGTAACCTACATACGAATCTATAAATATGTCTGTAATAATTTATTAGAATATTATATTTAGATAATATTGTGACGTGTTCTTTTGACTGGATTATTTCACATGAAAAAACATCAAAGGGTTCATATAAAGACTTTTACGAACCATTAGAGATCAATTGTCCTTTTCTGAATGAAAACTTGCTAGACTCAACTCTATCTATAGTTGTTTTTCTTCATATATAAACAGCAAGATTATACACGTTCATTAAACATATATCTGTCTGATAAGTTATTGGTAAAATCCGACAAATTCTATCACGTGTATCTGGCCGCATGTGGGATCATTAGAAATGCTGATTCATTCAATAATAGGTTTATCGAGTTTCTTCTTCACTTTATCAGACTTCGATCTATATTAATTGAAGGAACAATATTCTTAGCTATGTTAATACATTCACCCTTTAGTTATCACAGTAAACACACCTTTAAGTGTCACATATGACATAGTTAATAATAATGATAAAACTAATTTGTGTATATACAAAAAAATGTCAATACTATAGTTTGACACTGGTTTACAGATAAAAAACAAATGTTCTTTCTATTCTATTAATACATTCTCATTAAATATCAGTTTATATAAACAATACATTCGCAGTAAATAAAATTACCTAAGATCAATTAAAAATATTCGTCAATAGAAAACTTAGTCAGATCTATCGTATTACTTAAAAATCAATTCAACTACCAGCGATCTCTATCGAAAAATGAATGACGTCATTCTTATACTTCAAATGTAGTCATTTGATAACACTATATTAACTTTCAGCTATAACGATGACACTACAATATTTTATTAAATACCAAAGTGTATTATTATTTCTTTATTTTTAGTTTATTTAATGGATTCTCAGCCAATAATTCGTGATCTTGTTTTAGCTAATATAATACCACCATCATCATCATCAACAACCGAAACATGTGTTCAATTAGTTGAAACTGATAAACGTCCATTTGGTCATACAATTGTTAATACACGAAATGATTCAATTTCTGATCCTCATGATCTTGTTAATTTAGCTAAACAAATTGAAACGTGTGATGCATTTATTCGTGCTAATGTTTCAAATCGTTTACAAGTTATTGTAAATCAAGTTAATTTTTTACGTGAAGAAGCACAACGTATTTTAATGAAAGCAAAACGTGATGATGAATTAAATCATTCAGCTTGTAATCTTGTTCGTCGACCTGGACAAAACTATTATTATTATGAACGAGAAAGTGGACAGAAATATCTATCTATTATGCATCCACAAGATTGGATGACAGGTACAAAAAATAATAGTTGTCCACATCGATTTTTAGGTGCATATAGACTTGAGTATGATAATTCATGGACACGACAAGCAACAAATTTTGATGATGAATTAGATGATTCATTAGGTGAATTAAAACAAAAATCATCGACTGATATACAACAAAATCGAAAAATGATTGAGTTTTTAATTAAATCATAATAATAATCAATTTTGTTTTCAAAATAAAAAATATAAGATTTTAATCTCTATATGTTTAATGTATGTGAGATACTCTTCTTATCTTATTTGAAAAATAATCATCTACTCAAAAAAAAAATTTTACTTAAATGACTCTATCAATTTTAAATACAAGAAATAGAAAATACTGTATAATTTAGATTAGTTCATAAAAAACAAATGAGACCATCTGTTTGAACAATTTAAATAGAAGACATTATTTACAATGTCTCAAGAGAATAAAAATGACAAGTAGTACCGGAAAGAGAAATAGCTTTAAGTATCAAAACAAGAGCTTTTTTTCTTGGTCTATTAACCTTTTATCGGTCAGGCTTGTTCGTCTTTAACGAAGAAACAACTAGCTTGATTTGACCGATAGACAAATATTCGTTTTCCTGTTCTTCTTCTTCTTCTTCTTCTTCTTCATCTTTTCGTTGATCACACTGTACCATTCAATTAGAACAATGACCATCATTTCTTCTTCTTCTTCTTCACTCTCGTCGACCCTGATATGTCCGTATATGGTAATCGTCGGTCAAAATATATAGTAATAGAATAGTTGAAATGTGCGAGGAGAGAGAGAGAGAGAAGAAAAAAAAGCGAAAACAAAACATGAAGAGTAAAAAAAAGAACGCGCGTATTATTCATCGATCGAAAGAAACGAGAGTAGGCAGCAGTTATATTTTATCATCCTCAACTTCATTTCATTGATTTTCCAATATGTGTGACGACGACGTTGCAGCACTTGTTATTGATAATGGCAGTGGTATGTGCAAAGCTGGTTTTGCTGGTGATGATGCTCCACGTGCAGTTTTCCCATCCATTGTTGGTCGACCACGTCATCAAGGTGTTATGGTTGGTATGGGACAAAAAGATTCCTATGTTGGTGATGAAGCACAATCAAAACGTGGTATTCTTACATTAAAATATCCAATCGAACATGGTATTGTTACCAATTGGGATGATATGGAAAAAATTTGGCATCATACTTTCTACAATGAACTTCGTGTTGCACCTGAAGAACATCCCGTTCTTCTTACTGAAGCACCATTAAATCCAAAAGCGAATCGAGAAAAAATGACACAAATTATGTTTGAAACATTCAATACACCAGCTATGTATGTTGCTATTCAAGCTGTTCTTTCACTTTATGCAAGTGGTCGAACAACTGGTATTGTAC